AAACACTTTTTTCGCATCATGGAAGTCACGTGATCAACAACCGGCTGTTTCTACTGGCGAAAAAGACGATGACGAAGAAGATAACAGGAAGCAGAAATAGTAGTAATATCACAGAAGTAGTATAAAATAGTAAACTCACTGACTACAATTTCCCAAAAACACAGCATACATAGCCGCTTCCAAGTAGGGGCTTGTCGCTGGAAAGCCTAGATAAAAGACGCCGACGTCTCCTCTGATGATGAGCGCTAGTGTCGTGGTAGCAACATGCTATGTGTTTACATCCATTGCCGCCATGTTTGTAATGACTTATCGCGAGAACAAACGTATTCACGCGTGACTTTAATAGCATTTCTTACTTAATGGAAACACAGCAGTTGCAAAACTGTTTTTTCGACATTAACAGAATATTGACAAAGTTTTGCGCACATTTGCAATGGAAACGCAGCTACTGTGGTTCATGTGTGAATGAGCAGTGCTGGGTTACCCCTCTGAGTGGTGCTTGTTTAGTCGCAGAAAATGAACTTGGATGCCTGATGTAAAGTACCATTAATGGGTTAACTTCATTATAGTTGTCCAGGCATTGCTTTGAGTCTGCAAAGCACAGTGGAGCTGTTGTTGTCAGGACAGATGCTCTGTGTGTTTCTGCGAGAAAACTTGGTGTAGGAGTGAAGAACGGAGCATTGTTTTGTCTGTGAAACTCTTTGTGTTGCGGAACAAAAATAAATGTCTGTAAACTATAATAAAAGTCTAAAATTTAGAAGGATACACATTTGATTTGAACTCAAAGTGATAATGAACACGTATAAAAGTGCAGCGTATGTTTTCAATTTCGTACAAACTGTGCTTGGCTGAACATTAATGAATGTAGTGCCCAAAAGCAACAAATTCTGAGTGAATGAATGAAATGAAAGTGGTTCTTCCTCTGCAGCTCTGTAATGCAGTCTATTTTTATGGCTGTTTTTTTTTAAACCAAGTATTGTATTTTCCTCAGGGCTAAGATGGCTTTCTGTGGCCATGCAACATAAATCTCAGAAAAATGCATGTAGATCAAAAAGACATTTTTCTCATTTCAGCTAAATGTTTCTGACCACAGCTCCTGCATGAGATGCTGTTTTTTCCTCTGCCACGACTTCCCCGTGGTATCTTGGTCGTCTTAAAGAAACCTAAGCTTAAAACACTTTAACTTCCCGTACAGAAWGTTACGAAATAGTCAGATTTTAATCTCATAAAGAGATAAATGACCTTGTTGACTGAGTCCCTGCCCAGCAAGAAGCTGTAATCGGTCGTTTTTATTCAGTTGTGGTTTGTTTTCAAGGTGGAGGAGTGGTCTGGCTGCTTCGGGCTTCACTCTCCAAAGCACGTCCTTGTTCAGGCACGAGAGTTCATTGTGTTAGCCGTAAGGACACAAAGTCTCCTCTCAGGCTGTCTAAAAATACTTCATACCATCTCTGACCCAAAACACCAAGGGGCATAAATACAGAGAAGCAGCATGAAGCAAAAAATAACAGCAAACAGAGAGCGAAACGTACCGTACTTCTCTGAAAACGACTCTAAAAAAGACTGAGCTTGCTGTGAAACGTGATGATGGTTAAATGGATTAAATGCCACGACTTTAAAAATAAAGGATATCAGATTTTATGAGCTCAGTTTGGAGAAATAGTTGAACTCTGGTTGTTGAGCTAACGAGCAGATTGAACTGGATCACTGTTTCTTTTCTAAACAACACACACCTGAATGAAGAAGCTGCAAACTGACAAAACTTGTATTTTTCTAGCGGAGCCCACTCCTGCAGACGATCAATTAATCAATGAGTTTGAGTAGCAGCAGCTGAAAGCCACTTGCTCTGTTAATTCCTACGAAAGGAACAAGAGTATAAGTTTTTTTTTCCACTCACTGCTTCTACCTTTTCTGCTCAGTATCTTTTAATTATGAGCAAAATCATTTTGTGCTTTATTTAAAGTGTGTTTTTTTGTTTTTGTTTGCCAGTTCATGGCTAATTTATGTCTTTATGCAGATCTGTTGCTTTGATCTCATCACTACATTGTGTTTTTTTAAATTTCGGAACAGTCTGTTGTGAGGGSACCATGACTAACGCATTAGCTCGGTAAATCTTTCGTCTCTCCAGGCGGAAGAGACGGAGAGCACCAGCCTTTCCTCAAGGTTAGGGTCAGCCACTTTCACAGCAGGCAACAGGAAGCCAGAGGGACTGCCGTCTCTAAACGCCTAATGAGCCTCTAATTGATATCCAGCTGAAAAACCCCACAGAGCGTTAATGCCACTTCCATGGAAACTATATTATGTCCTCTCGTCGTTTAGCTAACAAGACCCGGAATGCCCTGAAGCATACATTTTTAACATGGAGCCGCAGTGGTGACACAGCAGTTGTTTTGTGAAGTTATTTTCTGTGGGTTCGTATTAACACACAATTACACGTTGGTACACACTCAGTATTTAGTAGTACGGGTTTATAGTTCTGGCTCCCTACACGCCAACATCATGTCTTAATGAGACATGTTTCTTTCAAAAGAGGCACCATTAATCATTTCTGCGCTCTGCTTAAAGAATATACAGGCAGGAATGTTGCATTCATTTTAAACCTTAATATTTCACATTTTGTTAAATTTAATTAAGGAACGAGAGGTTCAGCAACGTTTAGGGTTTATCCCATTTCACCTCTTCCCACTATAGTTTAGTTTCCTTCGTTTTGCATGTTTACACGAGAGCTAGGCCAGAATATTTCTGTAAAATGAAGAGTAAAMGGAAATAAAGGGTTATCTGGCTCTGTTAGAAGTGTTTTATTAGCAAAAAAACAACTTCAACTTGGCTTTTAAAAATTTTAAAGTTTTATAACAGTCTTTTAGAAACTCTAGTTTGAGGTACAACTCTAAACTAATAACTTCTTTTGATTTTTTCATGATGTGTGCCAAAGTTTTAAACAAAAACGGTGACAAATCAGACAGAAACTGTAAGGAGTTCTGACCTTTCTCCTCCTAATCATCGTCTCTCTGCGGGGGGGACAGCTGCTTTACTAATTTGACCTTTTTGGTTTCAAATGACAAGAATAGTGTCTTTCTGAGGCCTCTGCCTTTTCTCTTTAACCCTAAACCTTTTAACTCCTTATATGGAAACATAAAAAWGCTTTATAATGAAAGCACATTTAGGCATCAGTTTGTGAATTCTGATTCACACAGAAAAGTTTAAAGTGTGTTCCGTGTTTTTTGGTTTTGTTTTGCAGTCRATTTCTGCATTCTGTGCTATTTTAGCCATTAGCACATCAAAACCTTCAGGRTATTCAGGTAGTAGGTGCTAAAAATTTAGTACTTTCTTTAAAAAATACATGAAGAAATCACAATTCAGTCAAATGTTATTTTAAAAATCTCCTTTAGCAAACTTCTCGTGCTACGTTTAGCATTTAGCTACTGTATTACTTTCAGTCTTCAGCTAGCTATGTGCTACTTTTAGCTTTAACCCTGCATTTTAATGCTTTTAGCTAGCCATTTGATACTTTCAACTTCTTTTAACTTTTAGCTAGCATTTGGGGTTTTGTAGCTTTCAGTTAGTGTTTTCTTTCTTTCAAAATTTAGCTAGTTCTTTACTGCTTTTGGGTATCATTTTGCTCATTTTAGTTTTCGGCTAAAGTTTTGCTACTTTAAAATTTTTCTAGCTTTTTGATATTTTAGCTAGTATTTGCTATTTTTGCTTCCAGCTACATTTTTTGCTATTTTTCATTTTCGTATTAAACTTTTTTTTATTTTTTAGCCAATATTCTGCTTCTTAACAACTTAGTTTCAGCTCCTTCAGCGTATTTTTCACGCAATGTTAAATTTGATACATATGCAAAAACATTTAAGGATATATCACAAACATTTATTATTGTTTTCCTAACAAAAGTTGTTAATAGTTTTCATTTCTTGCTTACAAAAGCTCAAACACAAAAACCAAACCATCTGGGAATGACAGAGACATAATTTTCCTTTTCTGCTCCTCATTGTTATTTCGGCCTTTTTTTTTTTAGACTGGTTGGCTCGGTTTAATTAATGTGTTGGCAGTTCTGTTTTAGAACTCAGATTAAGTTCTACAAAATCATCCCTACTGAGAGAAACGTAAACTATAATTAGAAAATAGAACGAAAAAAATGTGAGCGATACCCCAGAGGAAATTTGATTATAACGTTGCAACATTCTTTAATTATTTTCTTTCTAAAGACATCTGGCAGCCAGAATTTACTGTCTGCTTTCAAAATCAGCATTTTATAGTTGTCCTTCCTGATTAGTAAATAAACAACAATTAAACAGGACGTTTTATGAAACTTGGATGAATATGTTGAATTGTACTGGGCTTGTTTTTGTGAGAAATATAGAAATAGTTTAACTGGAGCATTCCTTTCCTAATCAGCTGTAAACTGTGTAACATTAGATGGAAAACCCAGTCCTGTTCGGAGCTCTACAGCTCAGACAAACGTCACAGTAGAAGCATCATTCAAGGTTTAAATGAGTCACAGAAAGCTAGACTGAACTGGTATTTTGATATCTTTTGTTTTTATGCGGTTGAAGTTTTAAATTTAATGATTTTTGCGCAGAATTTTCTCATTTCAGTGTCTCAGAGATGATTGTTAACATCTCCCACACAGATATTTGAGCCCCCCACTCTCCTGCCCATAACTGGCCGTCTAATGACATAATGATACATTTAGTCAAAGTGCCTGGAAGCTCTGCATCACAACTCTGAAAGCGGTATTTTATTTCTAATCCGCCCACTGAAGAATGCAACAACTGCCCCAGTCTTTCCTGTGACAACAAGTCCTTGTTGCTCCGAACACTGCGTGTTTTTCTGACTTGCCAGCCGCCGTTTTGTAGTTTCCACAGCAGAGTGAACAGTGACAGGTCATAGACTCGCACCGCCGCCGAGCTGGATGTCAGACTGCTTCTGCTGCGTGTCAGTAAACATCCTCTGTCACTTTCACCTGAAGTTAAACTCATTTCATCTGGTTGCTTTTGTAGACTTCTGCTGAGCGTCTCTGCTGGAGAAGAACCGGTGAAATGTAGCACCTCGCTGCTCTCAAAGCCGGATTTGTTGTCTTCTCAAGGTGAGCTGCGTCTAATGTTTCCTCGCACTCGAAACTTGTGTGTAGAAAAGTTGCATCCCACTTTAACTGCTGCACCACACTAAGATCCAAATACAAAGCAGCAGAACTGGTTATTTTTTTGTGTGAAGCTTGAGCTTTGGGCCACAAACGAGACAAGAAAACCTGCTGGAGAGCAAACCTTTTCTTGAAGAATACACTGATAAATGTACAAGACTTCCAGATATTTCCTTGGTTACCTTTTGAAATGTGTACATTAGCAAACAAGCCTTTTAATAATGCTTCACATTTGACAAATTTAATACCTAGTAGAGCTGGGCGATATGATCAAAATTTTATATCACGGTATTTTCAACATTTTCACCGGTTTCACAGTATTTGACGGTATTTTTCTTTTCATCACAGCTCAGTTGATAATAAAATGTACAAACCCTGCTTATTGACTTTTTTCCTTTTATTGTACCTCTGTCTGTGTCTCTGTTTCCCTCCTCTGTGTCTGTTCTTCTCTGACTGGTGGTTGGAGACAGTAGTCACGCATTTTGGTCCAGTCGAGAAGGAGGAGGGTTAAAAGATGATCAGGTTTATTGTTTTATGTTATTTATTAAAGCTTATCAGCACGACTCACCTTGCACACCAGTCAATTCTAACTCCACTACGAACTACTTCCCGCAGGCTTTTCACAATAGAACCACGTTAAGTCTCCATCAGCATAACGTCTCCATATTAACTAACCACGTTAAATCTAACTGTGCACGTCACTGAAGAGGTGTTTACTACATTCAGCGAAAATGGGATGTTTTATTTAAACGTCAGTCAATATAAGTAGCGGAATCGCCACCCGCGGCTGCAACTAGCTGCTCCAAACATTAGCATGCTAACGCACATAGCGGTGCAGCAAGGAAAAATGTCCCCCGGGAAACAACAGTTCACTGGCGGCCGAGACAAAACGTTCCGCTATTTAAACCGGAATGTCCGGTATTCAGAAAATTCATATCATAACAAAAATAGAAACCGGTATTCGGTACAAAACGGTATACCGCCCAGCACTAATACCTAGATCATCCTGATAATGTGCAGTTCCTGACATATGGATTAATTTGTCTTCCTAAAGGAGATAATCCCTGGAAAATGGGTCTAAATCCTATTTTTAACGTATTCTAATGAGGGTTTCTTGGTATGATTTGAAAGATGAAACCTCAAACCATATTAAGATATTGGGATTTCCCAGCTGGTATATAAAATAGTTTTTCTAGTGCGCCAGAAATGTAGCAAAACTTGATGGATTTTTTTCTCAAAATCGTTAGTTGTTGGTAAAGCTCAGAAAAGTGCTTCAAAACATTCTTCWGGGTTATATTTTCAGCATTTCCTTCTAGTGACCCATAGATTCATCATATTTTGACAAAATCTAATTATCACATTTTTAAACCAATGCACTGTACCTGCCTTTATGTCTTTACCTGTCCTGCGACTTAATCCCTGGTTTGATGTGACGAGTCACATATCAGAGCAAAGGCTGGAGAAATACATTCATGTGGCCTCTTTCTAGTTGCTTTGAGAATTTGACCGCATATGTGGTGGAGGTGCTGTCATCTCGAGCAGCTGTCAGTCAAAATTCCTATATTTTATTTTTAAGAAGTGTCCAGATGGCTGATAGATGTGTCAGCTTGGGGCCATTTCAATTACTCCACGACTGGCCAGCCATGAAATAGTTGTTTGCGCCGACTCTGGATCAATTTCAGAACCAAAGCCGTCTTACTGCCATCTCAGAGGTAGACAATATTGAGATATTGATAATATTTCTGAAGAAAATGTGAAGGGTGCTGATGCAGCTTTTAGGTGATGTTTCCATGTGAAGTTTGCCCAAAGAAGTTGCGTGGTTCACCAAAATCTCATTGATTTTTATTGTTTTTTTTGTGCAGATTTCTGCAAAGTTCTGCAAAGGCTTTACAATGTTAAATATCACACACACACACACACACACACACACACACACACACACACACACACACACACACACACACACACACACACACACACACACGTGAAAATCTGTTTGGTTTTAAACATGCAGATGAGCAGCTTCTGTCAGCTGTTACAGGGAGTGTGGCTCGCAGGCTGCAGAGGTATGCAGAGTGACACTGGCTGGATCACATGGACGCATCTGTGGCGCTAAAGATGCATGCTGGCAAATGGAGTGGAAGAGTAGCCCCATTAAACCCTGGCTCTCCTCTGAGAAAGAGGCCAACAGCTCTGAACGCTGGCCTCTCGCTCCCTGGCAGAAAGTGCTGACACAATTTTCTTTCCTTTTTTTTTGTGTTTGAGTAAAATGCCTTGTGACCGCGTGACACTGGCTCTTTTCTTCCTCTTGAGATCCCCCCCCCGGCAGTAAAGCTGGCGCTACACAAAGGAGACGCAGTGTGCGACTGCTGTTTAGGAGGTGGCATAAATTGTAATCAAGCCATAAAATGGTGCAAAGATCTGCATTACTCACTTTTTAGCTGGTGAGCAAGGAATTCCTTTGTCTGAGGAGTTAATTGGCTTTACCGCTTCTCATTCTTCAGTCACTGCCTGGAAGATATTCAGAGAAACAAATATTTTTTTCCCTGTTTTTAGCTTTTCAAATGAATTAGTCTTTTTTTTTTTTGCATCTTCAGATGCACAAATCGTGCTTGAGAAAAGCTGCCTCAGCCCATTTGCTTGCGGTGCAGACCTGTCAGATTGTGATGACCTGCAGTGGCTCCTGTGCCGGTCAGCGGTGCAGGGAAGCAGAAATATTACGTTGTCTCCAGGCACATAAAGCATCAGCTCCTGCCATGATGTGCGTTTGACCTCGACACACCTTCCCTCACGAGAAGCTGTAGTTACGTCTCTGTGCCTCTGGTTGTTGTTGCAGTCAAGCAGTTGCATCATTTGTGTTTTTTTTATTTAATAGTATTTGTCATGCATTGACCAACCAGATGCTGTAGATGGTAAATCTCTGCTGAGTGCTGCAGGGACTGATGATAACGGTCTGCGTTGTCGAGTCACTGAAGGGGATGTGAAGGAGATGGTTGTTCCCCTCTGGGTTTTGTGTGTGTGTGTTTGTGTGTGTGTGTGTGTATGGTGAGTGAGCTGCAGCCCGCAGCCTCTGAAAGGGTGCTGTGTTAAATCCGACACACTCAAACCCACAAACTCTGACAGCCAGTTGTGACGAAAACCAATTTAGGTGGCATGATAAATCTTGTTTGAACTGTGGGGGAGCTGTTCTCTCTGCCTGCGTCTCGTCTCTTTAGTTTAAAAGTCGTCCTTGTTGTCGGGGAGGATTTGYAGTCAGAAAGACCGGCAGCCTCGGTGAAGATGAGGCAAAAGTTTTTTACACATCGCTGGAATGTTCAATTAACAACACAATGTTGGAATTGTTAATTGTCAGACTTGCTGCTTTGATTAAAACACAGATTAAAAAAACAGACTTGGGTAGCCTTAGATTAAGCATTCCTGACGCTGCAGGGTGGGGTGTCGCGATTCTTTTTCTTTGTGTAATGTAATTAAACAACTACCATATTTGTTCAAGTATAATATGTACAATTAAATCCATAAAATCATAAAGTTGGGAGGTGGTACTACACTCGGATAAATATTTTTACTTATGTATTTTAACTAAAATATCGGCTTCATTCACAAAATGCCTGAGTCTGGAAATGAGAACGCGTCGTAAAAAGCAGTTGAAACAAGCTTACCTCTGACACTCCTCCGTGCTTCAGAGCGAGATAATACAGATCCAGGCAGGTGACACGATGTGAAAAAAAGGGGCAAAAAGTAGTCCTGCACCTCAGTAATGATAGCGAACTAATGGGCCGCTCCTCGAACAACAACAAACACGTTTGTCTGTAATGGCTGCCGTCTACCGGTGTTCTGAAAAAGTTTGTATCCCTGAAAAAAATGTTTCCCCACCAGAGGGGGCGCTCGCGAGTAGGAAGTAATCTGCTTTTCCCCCACAAGATGGTCCAAATCTCATGTGAAGTCTCTGACTTTTGTGTTGGCGCCTCCTGGTGGACTATGTGTAAAATGCCAGAATTCATATGATGCTGCTACAGCTGATATATATTTGTTGTCAAAATACCTTTTAGTACATATGTTGTTAAAATAAAATGAACAGTCCAATGATCATTTTACTGATACAGTATATGTAAAGACTGCAAAGGATGAAAAATCTTGAAGTCTGTATGAAATTGGAGGTAGTTTGAGGATTATATTTTTATGTTTAAGCTCAAAAAAAGGGGGGGTATTATACATGAGATTGTATTATACACAAAAAAATACGGTACTTTTAAAGCGTCTGTGACATGCTTTTTCTTCAATTAAAAAATTAAAGAAAATATCCTAATATTTAAGAAATTTGGCATCATTCATATGATTTAACCAGATTATCACAAAATATGAATATTTTTTACTAAACTTGGTGCAGTCCAAGTGAAACAGGAAGTGATGTCAAAGGGGAACTCTTTAAAAAATGTGTAACTTCCTGGTCTTTATAAATCTGCTTCTTCTTTATCTGTCTGATAATGACTCAAAAAAAAATCAACAGAAACATCTGATTCTTTGCAGTCTGTTGTTAGCCGTTGTAACAACTCATTCAAGCATTCCCTTTTTCAGTTTTATCTTATCCTAAATTTAATGTCACGGTCACCTTAATACCTAGTTTGACTGATGTGTTAAGTTTGGTGTTTTGGAAAAATAAAAGTTTGGCTGTTCTAAAAAAAACATTTATTGCTGCTATTATTGCTCAGATGTGTTTATTTTATTCATTTTAGCTTTTGTCACTTTTAAATAAGCAAATACCTGGTAGGACAGGGCGATAAAACAATAACGTATAATGCGATCGAGACATAATATCAATGGAAATGTTGATAATTTCACTGAACTCTGATCCAGAAGCAAACAGCCTTCTAGAGGATGTAGGCAGAAGAAAAGCTTTAGCCGCTCAACCTCTCACGGCCCAGATAAGCAAGGTTGTTAGCATCAGC